AGCTGGGCATGGTGGCGCGTGCCTGTAATCCCAGCTACTCAGGAGGCTGAGGCAGGAGAATTGCCTGAACCCAGGAGGCAGAGGTTGCGGTGAGCCGAGATCATGCCATTGCACTCCAGCCTGGGTAACAAGAGTGAAACTCCGTCTCAAAAAAAAAAGAGTTTCACTCCTCGTCCAATGTTATCATTAGTATATAGACACTTGTCATGTTTTCTGATTGCCTAAGGCTTTCCCAACATCACTTCGAGAAAGAAGCCATAGAAATGGCTTTGCCAGCTTCCTTGCAGCTTGAATTCAAGCATGTTACCTAGACTCCACCAAGTGAATGCATTTTGCAAAATATGATAGAAAGTAAGCTGTGTGAGGAGCAAAGAATTGCACACAATCTATTTTGTATTTGTTGCCAAGATTATTAAAGTATTCAGCATTTGAAGGCTGTAGTAGCTGCAGAAGTTGAAAAGGTGCTTTTTTATGTCAAAGGGGCATTGTGAAGGAAGCAATAGTGCTTTCAGAAGCAGTGAGTTCTTGATGCACAAGTGGTGGTGGTACAGATTATACTATCTAGTGAGTGTGCAGTTTTCTTACCAGACCAGTTTCACAGCGTGGTTTAAAGGCGATGCTCTGAGCACTTAGCCTCCAAGTTTCTTTTAACAATTCTGTGATTTGCTAAATATGTGTAATAAATTCCTTTTCTGTTTAATTGTCCTAAGCTAGCTTCTGTTTCCTGGATCTGGAAATCTCATCTAGTATACAAGGTCCTTTCCTTTCTGAAAACTTAATTTTTCTCTACCTTTTTCTGTATCCAGTGATGTTTTCAATCCTCAGCTGATGGTGTGGCAGCTCATATGGATGGGTGCTTCAGGCAGCTGTTGTACCAACCTGCTATTGAATCTGGAACTAAATATTGGAAGGAGCAACTCTAGGAGGGCAGCCAGCAGGTAGTGAAAGGACATGGGTCACTGTGTGACAGATAAATGGTGGGAAGCAGTAATAGGAAGATTCAGCTGTAGGACTGAAGAATATTAGGCTCAGATTCACAATTTGTCTTGGACTAGTCTTCTGCACAGCTACAGTAACATTTGAATTGTAGTTGCTCCCATCTCCAAGTTCCTACAGCATATCACATCTTTGTTATAATACATCACATCATGTACTACAATTATCAGTTTACTCATCTGCCTCTACCATTAGACTGAAGCCAGAATCATAATACTGCTGTGTGCCCATAACTAGTACTGATTGTTGGACTTCATGGAAGGCCCCAATAGCTTCTCTCATCACCACTCCCCAAATTTTGAACAAATTGATAGATAAAAGACTAATGGAAAATTTTGATATAGTCTTTTCTAGGCATTTTCCATTAACTCATTTAATCTATAACAATCTTGTAAAAGTAGGTATCTGTATTACCTACTTATTTTTCAGCACATTGCCAAATATAAATCAACAAGAAACTTAAAATTAACACAATAATAAAATTCCAAATAGCTAAATATAAACTTCTTTCCAGGATCAAATTCCTTGGAAGAAAATAAAGTCCACAGATTAGATCCCCTTGAAAATTCAAGTTTTGATATATCAAAATTCAAAGTAATTGAAGTCCAAAATCAAATATTCTTGTTCTTGGCTATGTAAAGCCAAAGACAGTGAGGTCCTTTTTGTGTTCTGCTCCATCTTAGCTTAAGATATCTTCAATGCCTGGCTTCCTGTAAAAACCACAGCCAGTGTTATCTATCATTAGATTATGGGCCATTTCTCTGAACCTCAGAAACTGAATTAGTTCAACACCAAATCTGTCTGTGCCTCACTTTTTAATGTGTCCAAAGATTTTTTTAAAAAACACAAGAGATTTTTCTAGTACTGCTGCAAACCTTAAACATGTAGAAACAAAGGGAATTCCTACTCCTCCAGACCTCATCTCAGATAAAGAAACTCAGAACTTAGAGCTTTCAAAGACTATAGCAAAGATTTGAAGGTATCTGAAAAAAATGTGGGTAGATGAAGAAAATTCTGATTTCCATTCCAAATGTACCAATCAGGCCATCTCTATTTAGGAAGATGATCAACTATAAATTTAAACTCAGTTAGGAGATCATTTTTAACAAAAGTTAGCTTGGGCAACGTACATTTATCTTATCTGAGAGGAAATTTCACTTAGGGATTCTGTCTCCCATTCTAGAAAAGGGCCATTTGACATTACATTGAGTCTTCTAGAGTTTACAAATACGCAGTGGTGGCAGTCCAATCATCAGGTTATCTTGAAGTAACATTCTTTCCCAATAAGTGCATTTAAACCTCCCTAATTTCCACTTTTCCTTTGATCCCTGTGACCTTGTCACCCGTCCTGTATGGAGCATGGGTCTTTCTGCAAGCATATGTGCTAACTCACATGCCGGCTGTCATTCTTACTCCTATACCTCTTCTGTGTCTATTAACAAAGCTCCTTGCCATGGAATTGATTAGGACTAAAATAGCTGCCTCGTAGAGGAAGTTTCTCCCTTGCCATACCTGACTTTCAGTTGAACCAATATCTGTGAACAGAAATGGTTTTTGCTATTTCTGAAACTTGCAATGGGGGCCCTGAGGACCAAAATTTCTAACTTGCGCTCTTCAAATACAATAAAATACAGAGAAAGTTTAGTAATGAATCTAGGATCAGTGTGTGTGTGTGTGTGTGTGTGTGTGTGTGTGTGTGTGTGTAGAAGGGTGATTCTTGAGGCATTTTATAAGCCCCGGGACTAGGGAGTTTTCTCCACGTTCCCAAATGTTGAATCAGATTTGGAGTAACAGATCCAATACAATCCAATGCATTTTAATACTAAAACCTTACCAGAGTTCTGTGTATAGATCCCAGCTACGTTAAGGCTTAAAAGTGACAAATATTCTATCTGCTATATCTAAAATGATCTTCTGATGCCCATTCAAGCTGAATTTGAGTAGTTCAAGATTTATCCATGCAGCTGACACCATAAGTACCCTCCATTGGGCTAAAAACTTTGGGAATATCCACTACATATTTTGTGGGGGTTACTGCATAATGGAAATGTGGCCTCCATCAAGTCGGAGGCCCTATGTGACTGTATAACTGTGCTGCTCCTACACCCATGACAAGGGTCCTGCACTGTGATAAGCCCATATGCTGTTTGTAGACCTAGCACCCCGCTGCCTGACTTCAAACCACTTCCTTACCAATGTAACTGATAGGAAACTTCACATAGATGAGAGACAAATTGGATTTCAGATGTGGAGCCTTCATGTTAGATGGATTGACTGTTCTGATCACAAACAGTGAGGGGAAATCACACACTGACGCCCATTAGAACAGAAAATTTACTGCTCAGCTTAACACATGACCAAGAGCTGATCAGGCAGGTTCCAAAAAGAAGGAAATGAACAAGGGGAAGAGTTATGCCAAATTTATAGTTGAAACTTACTCATGGTAAGTCACTGACACCTCCACTCCCAGCCTGGGAAAATGTGAGTGTGGAGGTTTAGAGATGCCAAGTGTGATATATTTACTGATGTTCCCCTTCTTGTAGAAACAGTGAGACAGGGAAGGGAGATACCCACCCTAGTGCCGCATATGCCTAGACAACATTGATGATAATGCCTAGCATGCTATAGGGATTTAATAAATATTTTCTTAAAGAATAAATGTCCCAATGCTAGTACACATAATTTATCCATGACCTTTTGGAAAATGAAGAATTATCTTGTCATAGATCATCATACTAAATCATCTCTCTCTTTTGTTTAATAGAAAACATTTTTAATATGCCTATGAGGGTCTACTTTAAATAGTCAGCCGAATATAGAGTGCCTGTATGCACATATCTTTTGTTAGGATATCAGGTAGACCTCTTTATTCCCCACAGAATCAAATAATTAACCTCCTAGCAGCACAGTATTAGACAACATCATTCACTATATGTGTCATGAATTTCTTCCTCTCATCCTTTTCCTGCCTTGGTTTGCTGGACAACAGTTGCTTCTAAACCCTGCCCTTCATCACTGTGCAGAATAGAGTACTGGACAGAGAATCCAGAAAATTCAGTTTGAGTCTAGGTTTTGCCTGTTTTGCCCAATAATTTAAGACAACCTACTCACCTCTTAGCTTAGTTCAATGTGAAGACGTCAAATCATAAACAAAGCTTTCAACATTTCACACTGCCCAGCCATCTCTCAATCTAAAGCCCAGGATCTCCAAGACAAAAGAAAAGCGCTCACTTCATCTGCAAAAGACATGTGTATACAGACATTCTATATCAGGTTGAATATTTAAAGTGGAACCTCATAGGCATATTAAAGATGTCTGCCATTAAATAGAAGAGAGAGATGATTTACTTTGATAATATGCAACAAGATAATTCTTCATATTCCAAAAGGTCATGGATAAATTATTCAGTGGTAAGTAATATTTTTAATATATAGCGCATCGTATTTCATGAAAATTGACTGAAAACTAGTTTTTTTGTAATTGTTATGAAATCCCACCCATGCCCATAGACAACCTCTGCATCCTGACAGCAGCCACTCACTCCACTGTGGGGAGTCTGTGAATCGGGTAATGATGGTGTTATGCTTCTATAGTCCTGACTAGTGGAGCTGTGATGGAGACAGAGCCACCACCGCACTGCTGTTAGGACTTTTCCATAGACTCAGGGCTGGCTCAGGGAACAATTGTGAAATAGATGAATTTTTATCTTTGGAACCATGTCACATGTCCCATGAACAATTCTGCTTGGCCACCGCCCCTATGTCAGTATAAGGGACTGAGAATACTGTCACTACAACAGCACGGCACACTCCAGTACATGATTTACAGCAAGGAACAGGAAGGCGACCGTAGCATGTACTTTGGATTTTATATCTTACAGTATGTCCTGTGAACTTTGCCTGCTTTTTACTTGGTAAAAACTGTGGAACAGAAAGGAGAGGGTCCACTTCTTACTCAAATGAGAAATAAAATGATGTATAGTTATTATTTCTGCGAATAGTCTTGAGTATAACAGAGAATGAGTCCCCTCAATAAGGAAGAGGCATAAGCAACAGCTTAACAACAGAAAAATATTTTTTGTTTCCTTATTCTAAAAAAGAACAGATCTTGAATCTATATGCCAATATTAAATAAGTAAATAAAGGCCCAAAAGACTCACTCACAGCAAGCTGAGAAATCAGTGTGGGTAATGCCTGATTATTAATGGCATTTTGAGTAGAAAATAAAAGTACTTTAATAAAAACCTGTCTAAAATTTCTCTTAAATTTTCTGAATTATCCCCATTGTTTTAAAAAATGAATGAATAAATTTAAACTCTGAGAAAGAGTCAGACACTTCTATAATATCTTGATAACAACTCCCCTAAAACAAATACATACCCCCATCTCTGTCTGGGGCATTGCTGTTATTGGACTTATCTCCCACCATCCCACCACTCCCATATCAGGGCCACACAATAGGCCAAGAGTTTCGATGTCCCGAACACCAAACTAGCTAGACATGGCTACATTAATCATGTTCTTTTACACCAGTTGGCGGGAGCAAAGCTACATTCCAGGTAGCTAGATTCAAGCACTATATGCTCCTCTCCTCAATGCATCTTTCCCTGTCACCAGGCTATGCCCTGCCCTCTGGTTACAATTGCCACTCCTTCATTTTTTTCTTCCCCATCTCAGCTTAGACATTGAGCCTGCCTGCCTGCCTGCCTGCCTGCCTGCCTGCCTTCCTTCCTCCTTCCTTCCTTCCTCCCTCCCTTCCTTTCCCTCCCTCCCTCCCTTCCTTCCTTCCTTCCTTCTTTCCTTCCTTCCTTCCTTCTTTCCTTCCTTCCTTCCTTCCTTCCTTCCTTTCTTCTTTCCTTTTCCTTCTCTTTTTTTCCTTCATTTCTTTCTCTCCTTCCTTCCTTCTTTCCCTTTCCTTTCTTCTCTACCTCTCTTTTTTTCTTTTTCTTTCTTTCCTTCCTTCTGACTCTCTTTCTTTCTTCCCTTCTTTCCTTCCTTTTTATTGTCTTTTTCTTTTTTTTTCTGAGACAGAGTCACCCTCTGTGGCCCAGGCTGGAGTGCAGTGGCATGATCTCAGCTCATTGCAGCTTCCCTCTCCTGGGTTCCAGCGATTTTCCTGCCTCAGCTTTCCAGGTAGCTGGGAATACAGGCACACGCCACCACTCCTGGCTAATTTTTTTTGTATTTTTAGTAGAGATGGGGTTTCAACATGGTGGCCGGACTAGTCCCAAACTCCTGACCTCAGGTGATCTGCCAACCTTGGCCTCCCAAAGTGCTAGGATTACAGGCATGAGCTATTGCGCCTGGCTTTTCTCTTTCTTTCTCTCTCTCTTTCATTGCCACTCTTGACTAAAAACTTACTTGATTCTCAGCCCAGCTATCTTGATCCACTGGATGGGTTGGCAACTTTAGCACAGAAAAAGAGTGAAAATTCTTTGTCTTTGTTTTTTGATGCCTACCTGGAGCATGATTTGAGGAAGGAAAAAAATGCATTGTCTGATCGTGTCTGTTTGTATGATCCACGGAAAGACGTGACTTATTCTTGAGAGGTATAGGTGATCTCCAGGTAATAACACCAAATTTCATGCTGAAAGTGAAGAAGGAGTGCAAACAACAACAACAACAACAGAGAATGAGTAAATTTATAGTCAGGATAAAATGGACAACAATGTAGACTACACACATGGGTACATGGGTGGTGACTATGAAAAATAGCCTTGGAAACATTCATATATAATACAGGCCTAGGAAACACTCATAGTCCATTTTTATTTATTTATTTATTTTTATTGTACTTTAGGTTCTGGGGTATGTGTGCAGATCATGCAGGATTGTTGCATAGGTACATACATGGCAATGTGGTTTGCTGCCTCCATCCCTCCAATTATATTGCAAGGGAATGATGATTAATCTTTGAAAAGACTGTTGTAGAATTCTGCCATTCTGCTTCACCCCCTCTGTGACTAACCCTTAACTTCTCTCCCTGAGCCTATAGCTACTTGAAAGTGTGCACAACTCCAGTGCTTCTATCTTCTTGTCCACACTGTCACCAAAAGGTTGTTGATAAACCACAAATGGGGTGCTCTGCTGCTGAACTTCCTCAATAGCCTGTTATTATCTACAGGATTAAGCCCAAAGTCCTTAGGAAGGGCTTGGCTTACCTCATTTCCCAGAAATACCCAACACTTGGGCCCTATCAATGTACTTATCTGCCATATGTACACCGCATTATCTTAAACCAACACGTCCTCTTTTTCCATTTTTTTTTTTTTTGAGCCAATCTTAGGCTTACAGAAAAGTTGAAGAAATATTAAAGAGACTGTCTGTGTATTCTTCACTCCTCTTCCCCTCTCATCTTGCATAACATTAGTTCATTTATCAAGTAAAAGAATTTTACATGAGAAGACACTATTAACTAAAGACCTTATTCAAATTCCGTCCTTCTTTCCATTAGCTTTTTTCTGGTTTTCTATCATATCCAAATCCCACCTTGCATTTTAGTTGTTATTTCCTCCTAGTCTCCCCAAGTCTGTAAAAGTTCCTTAGTCTTTCCTTCTCTTCCCTGACCTTGACACTCTTGAAGAGTAATGATCAGTTGTTACGCTAAATGTTCCTCAGGTGTGGTGTGTCTCATGTTTTCTTGGGATTAAAGTGACGTTATGCTTAAACATCACAAAATGATGTTGTGTTTTTCTCCGTGCATCATGTCACAGAGCTCATAATGTTGATATGTCTTATTACTGGCAATGCCAATTGCACTCCAACAGAAGGTTGTTTTTGCCAGATTTTACTTCTGTAAAATTATCTTTGCCTTTGTAGTCAATCACACCTTGGAGGAGATGCTTCAAGGATACAAAAATTTTGTTTTTTCTTAAGCTTTTACCCAATGAATTTAAGACGCATCAGTAATTTTTACCTGCAATAATTATTACTGATGCATGATCAGTTTCTCATTTTTTTCTCTTTTCCTTAAATGTCTATCTCCATTTTTTTCTTCTCATTCTCCGAATTCCTACTCATATTGCCTATCCCAGATAAAGATAGTTTCTTCTCTGGGAAATCTTTTCACATTATCCTAGGCAGACCAAGATGTCATCTCTCCATTCTTTCTTAGCAACCTTGCACATGGCCCCACAATAATTACCGCCATGGTATTGGTCTTTTTTATTTCCCTGGGAGTTGATCTGTGTGACTGGAAACTCCTTGAGGAAAACACTGTCTCAGCACTTTTTCTACTAATACATAGCATGGGATCTGGTCTATAAAGGACTATCAATGTGTCATTAGAGAATAAATGAATGCATCTATTACATTATTTCCAAAATTCACTTTTAGGCTAAAAAATTTAGAGCTTTTTTTTGTTTTAGTTAGAAGAATAATAATTCAGTTCTAAAACTGGGATTCTGATTTCCTGCCAACATTTTCCCCCTTTGGGAAACTTACTTTATGATGTTTCTGGAATCAGCCCTATTTAATTCTCCAAAAACCAAGTTAAAATCTTGTTTTGTACTTTTTTCCCCTACCTTCCCTCATCATACAATGGGTTACTCTTTCCCCTCCACTTGTGATTCTGTTTGTGTGCACATTTCCAGGAGCAAATGTAAATAAACTACTCTTTCATTCTTTTTGCTAAGCTTCTGGGTGTCTTCTACCCTGGTCCTGACATGAGCTTCTTTAATCCTTGGTTATAAATTTCCTCCTGTATATTTGCTCTATTCTGTAGATTTAAGGGAGGTTTTAGAAAACTGCCTTTAATCCCCTGAAGATAACAAAACAAACAGTGGAAATTGACTCTGCCTAACAGTTATCATCATTATTATTACATAATTAGTGGTTTGAGTCATTAATGCAGGAAACTAGGCATGAATGTGGATGCATGGCCTGCCTGGCCATGTGCCCACAGACAGGTCGGCAGTAGCTGATAAAACTGTAAATGCTAAAAGGAACTTGTCCTCCTTCATCATCAGCATCATTATCAAAATCGTCTCATCACCACTGTCTTCATCATGAAAGCCTATACCACGTTGTGTGTGGTCTGCACAAAACCATGACTAATACCAAACATGCCTGATCCTTTAACATCACTCCTTTGAAACCTCTTAGCACATTGAACCCCTCTTACCACTTGATTTTGACAGTTCCCTTAGACTGCATTGTAGCCATTTTGTGCTGCGATCTTGTCCTTCTCAACCTACTTTCTCTCTACCTTTACTAGACCAGGAATTTCATAAAGGCTGAGGTAAAAGGTTATACTCCTCTTTATCACTGGTACTTATTGCTATATGAGAACATAATGGAAGCCCAATAACTGTTGTGGAATTAAACTGTCTTCCATGTAAAGCAGAAAAGCAATAAACTGGGGAAAGGCATGTAAGAAATTAATAATTCCAGAATCAAAACTTACCTTTGTCATTGATAAAATGTTATTGATAAGCACATTTTGTGTACAGACAAGGCTTCTAGAAGTTCTGAGAAGTTGGAAACATAGATTCTAGAATGAGACCTGGAAATATCAAAGGTTCATTTGGACTTGATTTATGTAATACTTTTTTAATAGCAGAAGACATTCAACAAAAGGAATAGTCTAAACGTTATTCCTTTTGCATCCACAGCAGTACTAATTTTAAGACTCTACCACTTCTTAATTCCTATTTACAGTGTCTTAGTTCTGATCTTCATTATGTTTCACCTGGATAATTGCAATACCTTTGAATGATTTTCCGGCTTCTAATTTCTTCTCCCTGCAAGTCATAAGAGATGGCTCCCCATTGATCATAAGACCAAATTCAATTGCTTTTTATAGCATATTCAATTTCAACAACCAGTCTGTTTTATTGGACTTCTCTGTAATCATGCTTCTTCTAAGAACTGCACTCCAGTTACCTAGAACTTCATGAATGTCCAGGAAAAAGTGTACCATGAATTTATTATTCCATGCATTTCTTCCTACAGTTTCTATAACCTGAAAGGTGAATCACTTTGATTTGATCTTTCAGGATCCACATAAAAATATGATCCTCTCAGTGAGATAGATATTCTATAAGTTTATAAGACAGAATTGTTCTGCCTCCATCATTTGCCATAGAACTTCATCTGTAGCTTTATAACATTTGTCATATTGTGTTAGAATTACAGTTTATCGTTACACAACACAGATTTGGACAGCACAGGTCCCTTATATATGGATTTATTTTCAATAAAATTTACACTCAGTGTTCCTGCCTCTTCTGCCTCACCTTCTACCTCCTTGATCACGTCTGCCTCTGCTACCCCCGAATCAGCAAGACCAATCTCTCCTCTTTCTCTCAGCCCGCTCAATGTGAAAATGATGAGGATGAAGATCCTTATAATGATCTACTTCCACTTAATAAGTAGTAAACATATTTTCTCTTCCTTGTAATTTTCTTAATAAAATTATATTTTCTCTAGCATATGTTATTGCAAGAATATGGTATATACTACACATAGCATACAAATTATGTATTAATTGACTGTTCATATTATCAGTAAAGGTTCTGGTCAACATTAGGCTACTGGTAGTTAAGTTTTTGGAGAGTCAAGAGATATACTCAGATTTTTGACTGTGCATGGGACCAGCACCACTAAGCCTCTCATTGTTCAAGGATCAACTGCATTTGTTTATCAAACTGAAGTTCCCTAGGCTAACAGCTGTTCATCTCCACACCAACACCTAGAGAAAAATGTAGTAGGCTGAAGTGCTCTAACAAACCCTGAGACCTCTGTTGTCTATCACAATGAGAACTTAATGTTCACTCTTTTAAAATCATTGTGATAGCAGGAGGTGTGTGTGGGGTGGGGTGAAATTTTCTGTTTCACACAGTCACTCAGGGACCCAGACTTCTTATATATTATGACAACTCCATGCTCAATATGTAGACTCCAAATGTTTCACAGGAGCAGTAAGAGGAAGGTTGTATGTGGAAGATTTTTATGGGTGAGATCTAGAAATGGTATATAATTCTCCATCACATTCCATTGCCGTAATAGATGCAATCTAACTTAAAGTATCCTGGGAAATGTAGTTTAGCTGCATGCCCAGAGAACAAAAGAGAGACATGGATATTGGAAAGCACAGCATCCTCTGCCATCCTGCTCAGTAAATGGGTACAGAATGAGTACAATGGAAGGCTCTTTTTAATTTAAAGCCATTGTGGTGAATGGAAGGAACAAAGAAAAAAACAGTTTTTGAATTCAAAAATCTTGGTTTCAGACTACAGCAATGCAAGCCAATTAGTACCTCTGTGACCATGGCAAGTACCTAAAACTCTCTAAATCTCAAGTTCTTCATCTGCAAATGAAGTTGGTTTGGGGTTAACTGCAAAATACATGAAAAGCATCTGGCGCATAGGAGGAGCTATTTAATAATTACCCTCATTTCATTCAAATCAATATTTTAAGAATCTGCAATGTGCTAGAGTAGTGCACTAAGCATTAGGAATAGAAAGACCTATTAAAAGCATCACTCACCTTTAGGGAAATCAGAGACCAATTGTTAGGGCATAATTGTAGGTAAGAAAATGAACATTTAAAACACACTGTAATAAACAGGCTTTTCATTATAGAGGG